TGTCCACTTTACTCCCTTCCTCGTCAGGCGAGTGAGCGGGGCGGCTACCGTCGAGAAATTTGCGACGAATCGCCGGTACCAGGAGGCCATGCCCAAAAATTGTCGTATCTTGCGTACGGTGGTTGGAGCCGGCCATCGGGCCACGGCGCTTATCTTATCCGAGTCGGTGCGGAGGCCATAGCGGCCCACGATGTGGCCAAAGTAGCGGAGCTGGTCCCGGCAGAAATGGCACTTTTCCGGATTTAGGCGGAGTCTCGCTTCTCGGAGGCGGCGGAACACTTTGCTTAGTAGCCGGAGGTGTTCTTCAAAGGTGCGGTTGACCACGATAATGTCGTCCAGGTAGACAAGGACATGTGGTGCTAGGTCCGGCCCCAGTGTTTCGTCGAGTAGCCTTTGGAAGGTAGCTGGCGCGGAGTGTAGGCCGAAGGGCATTACCCAAAATTGCATGAGGCCTTTCCCTGGGACCGTAAAGGCGGTGACTGGCCGGCTATCGGGTGCTAACGGTATCTGCCAGTACCCATTTTTCAGGTCTAGCGTCGATAGGTATCGGGCTCCCCGCAGTTTATTCAAAGTGGCCTGTACTTGTGGCAGGGGGTATGCGTCTTTCTCCGTGACTTCGTTTACTTGCCGGAAGTCGATACAGAACCGATACGACCCGTCTTTCTTCCGGACCAACACGATAGGCGAGCTCCAAGCTCCGTGGGAAAGCTCGATCACGCCCTCTCGCTCCATCTTCTCCACCTCCCGGTCGATAACTGCCTGCATGGCCGGATTCCTGGGTCGGTACCGCTGTTTAATGGGCCGGTCGGTCTTAACCCGGATATGGTGCGAGATTTGGTCGGTCGGGCCGCGGATGTCCTCGAATAGGGCGAGTTCCGTGAGCAGGAATTCCTGGAGGCGGCGTTCCTTGTCGGGGGTCCGGGAGGCCAATCCCTGGGCTACGGCTCCGCATTCGGAGGTTCGTATGGCTTTACGCGGTGCGGCGGCCCGTAGCACAATCCCCGTCCGGGCCCACAGGTCGACGCCTATGAGTACGGCGCCCTGTAACGATGGCATGATTAGGAAGTCGTGTCTGAGCACCTTCCGGCCAATCTTCACCGGGAGCGTCATGGTCCCGGGTATCGTGGTTGAACCTCCGTCTGCCAGGTGGACGGAGCTCGTCCCCTGTCGGATCGGGAATCCGAGACTCTCCGCGTAGCGGGCGGTATCCGTATTGATGAAGGACACCTCGGAGCCGGTGTCAATCAACGCTCGCATAATTCTGTGTTTGCTGGGTATTTATATATAGTAGACTAATAGAGTGTACTAATAAAGTATAATCAGTATGTTCATTCTGTATCGGTGCTTTTATTCTTATTAAAAAGATCAAAAGTACCGATACAGAATGAACATAATAATTATATTATATAAAAACTAATAAAAATTCTGTATACATAGGAAAAATAGTAAATGTTAAGTTATGAATTGGATAATAAAAAATTATATTTTTAATTATAAAATGTCTTTATTTTAATATCAATAATATATAATATTTATTATTATATTTATTATTATTAACAGCCGCAACTTTTTAGTAATATATAAGAAATCAATTTTTAAAAATAATATTATATAGAAATATTATAATATGTAAATATATCTTATTATGTAAGAACAAAGTTTACACTTTTCTGATATATCTTTTTTGCTTTTTTTTATAATGATCAATAGCTTGCTTAAATATAATGTTGCTAGCTACGTATCAAGTGTCACGACCAGATAAAATTCTGTTCACAGATTTACAAAATGTATATAGAAATAATTTAATAATTACTTGTATAACAGCATGTTTTAATTCTTCTTTATGTTAGATGCATTTAACGAAAGATTTTAGCTTTTCGTACACACGCTCACGTAATAAAACAGAAACATTTCTGCGAAAACATAATGAAGAAATGTTTTCATTTAAAACAGAATCAGCTTCAATAAATATATCATTCAAAAAGCACATAGATGGATACGTTAGAGATGGTTTTTTTTAACATATTCTGCATTAATTAATTGTATATATTCTGTATGTGATGTGTCCGTACTTAAAAGACTTTCTTTACATGCTATACAATTTTTAAATTTTTTCATTGACAAAACTTTTTTTACAACCCAGCCAGCAACGTATGATCTATTGCTTTCTTGTAGTGGATATGCTTTATGGATATTTTTTATATTTTTAACTTGAGATGATTCTGTTAAAAAATCTTCTTCTACCGTTTGTTCTGTAATATTATTTGCACAAGTAGCATTTTTTACAAACTGTTTTAAAGTAAATAATAAATCGCCGTCATTTATGTTTTCGCAATTGGATCCCACAGATCTTCTTGCAGTAAAATTATTAATTAATAATGTTTTGTATGACCCGCAAAATTGACTGCACGACGGATTTATATTTCTGCGTCCATGACTACGAATTAAACCAAAAAAATTTTCTAAAGGATCCTGATTGATATTTCTTGTTTTTAAAAATCTTATTCCTTTACTTTCAACAATTTTCCATATTTTTTTCAAATCACGCAAAGTAAATATCCAATTTTTTAACGATGGTATACATTTAACTGGTTGTTTAGTTTTCGGATCAACATATCGCATATTAGATAATCGTTTAATGGCATATGGCCAAAAGTTATGATGCTTACTATTTTTCGTTACTGCTACGCGTAGAGGAGTTTGTGGATGCAAGGTATGTGCGTTAACGGAATCAAAAATTTTATTAAAAAGATCCAATGCCACTGCTGTGTCATATCCTGCCTTGTTTGGTATTTGTAACTGACCAATCTGTGATTCAATAAAGCCTCCTAAAAAATGAATAAATTACATGCAATTAGATTATATACAATTTATATTTATTTGTTATTGTTACAATTATTTATTATGTGCAAATTAGTAAATTTAAAAAAGTGATAGTAAGATTGATTAAATTACCTTTAATTTTGCTATTATATTCTAGATATCCCGATAATCTTGCACTGCAAACTTGAGCAGCACATTTTACTTTCATTTTTTTTATTTTTGATTTAATGACATGTTGGTCTGTTAATTTTGGTACTTGGCGATTTAACGTATTTGTATACATATCCATTTTATATGCCATTTCAATAATGTCCCATGACGCAAACTGTCGTTCGTTTTTTTTCAATATGGTGGTATCAAGTTCTAAATTTTTAAATAATAAATTGTTACGGATTCCTTTTAAAAGATGTGGTGGATCAAAAATAGGTACAATGTTTTGCCCAAAAAGTTGAATAATATCTTCTGAAATATGGAATAAAAAATTGTTTTATGTATTTTAATTATGTTTTTTTAAATTATTTTATGTATTTTATACTTACGATATTCTTGACCTGTTCTTATACATTCGCGTTTTGAATCCTGAAGAAGACTGTTAATACATGTCATGTTCGGTCCGCCTTGGTCACATACAGTTGCAATAATTATCAACCCAGCTTTAGTTAATTCTTTTATGATTTCTTTCATACATCTCAACAATTGTGCAGATTTGGTTTGACTTTTACAAAAGCCATAATACAATGGAATTTTCCAACCTTTCAGAATTCCTCGTATCATAAATACCAATACATGATCTGCTATGAGAGATGTACGTCTATGTCCCCAATCTTCAAAACCAATGATTTTATCATTTAACTGATCGTATTGCAAATTGGCTTCTAATGACATCTCATCCCACATTAACACGCATAATTTGTCATGATCGTTATTTATTTGTGCCATATGCTGCTGCAGATGCTCAAAAATAAATTTGTTGATTCCTGGTTGTAATGAGATTGTTTAAATAAAATAATATTTTATACATTATTATTACATTTGTAGGTGGAGGAGTAGCAAATGTTACACAAAATATTTTATTAGAGCGTGTAACTGAAGTGATGGGTGAGACATCAGCATGTGGATTGATAAATCCTTTTGATTCTGATGCGATAGACAAAGTGTAACGGCCTAACGTTATCGTCGAACGCGGACTAATTTGCCGGATCAGGAGTTCGACTGAAAGGCCCAGAGACAATAATTAATCGTAAGGTACAATAGAATGCTTTATTCAATTCGGTGATTACAGACCACGCGGAACGCGGGTTGATAGCTGGACGCGGTATTTACAGATTGGTAGTGCATGAGCACTCGGCGCGGTATACGAGATAACGGAGAGTCGGTAGTGCATGTGCACTCGGCGCGGTATACGAGATAGGAATGGACGCGGTTTTACGGCAGGACGCGGTATTTACAGATCGGTAGTGCATGAGCACTCGGCGCGGTATACGAGATAACGGAGAGTCGGTAGTGCATGTGCACTCGGCGCGGTATACAAGATAGGAATGGACGCGGTTTTACGGCAGGACGCGGTATTTACACAGATCGGTAGTGCATGTGCACTCGGCGCGGTATACGAGATAATACGGACGCGGCTTTACAGCAAGACGCGGGAATTACAGGGATCGGTAGTGCATGTGCACTCGGCGCGGTATACGAG